TCTCTCTCTCTCTCTCTCTCTCTCTCTCTCTCTCTCTCTCTCTCATTTCTCTGTCAATGGTGAAGACAGAATCCAGAACTTTGTTCATGTTAAGTAAGCACTCTAACCTAATCTTAGGAAAATATTCTCTTAATGATTTTTATTGTTTTCCTTCTTATCTATCCTAGAGGAGAAAGAATGTGTTCAAACATTATGAACTGGAGTTCTCCTCCCAAGTGCCAATTTTAGCATTGCCTGAGTCTTTATTTTGGGTTTGTTTTTTAATAAACCTATGTGTTTATGGAGATTTGAGGCATCTTTTGATAATGGCTTATCACCTCTACTCCCTCCATAAGAGATGAGCAGTAGCCAATGTACCCTTAAATTCATTTTTAAACTTCCCATTCGTGTATAAATTCCAAGTGGCAGATGTTGTCAATAATATCACCACTGATGACTATTGTGCATGTGGCCTTTGAACCCCTACAGAGAAAGCCAATTTTAACTTTCCACAATAGGTGCTTCCATTGCTTTTAATCTTCATGAAGTTGCTTGCTTTTGCAGGTTCCTACAGTTTATTTTCATTTCTAAGGTAGCCATCGAATAATAAATATAATTACTATTTTCATGTGGTTCAGCCTTGGTGCTCTTCTGAAGAATGAAATTACACCAATGTACTCCTTTCAATTAAACAACATGGTTGAAAACAAACGTCTTTTGCAGATTATGCACATGGGAAATGTTCTCCTTTGTCCAGATCCAATGGGTCTTAACTTAGGGGGTTGTTATATGCTTTCCCATTAGATTTGGATTTGTAAAGCTAGAGAATCTTGGGAAAGGAGGTCATATGGACGAAACCCTTATCTCAGAATGAAGGAATGAAAATACAGTGTCTGAAATTATCTATCTGTTCATTACAGATAAATGAACAAGGTAAACAAGGACTGGAAATCAAGCTGACACCCTCATCTCCTGGAAGTGATATTCAACTTAATGGGAGGGAACACTCAAGATTGGGTTGGATGGGGAAGGGAGCAGGAGACATTTGCTAATACACACCATATTAAGCATATCAGGGTCTTCTATTGAATGTGATCTCAGACATTGAGTATCTGCTAATGATATGTAGCACTGAACATCTGATCTGGTTCTTGTTTTGAACAGAATTTATTGTCTTAGGAACCAAACATTTTTGGTTTTACTGTTGGTATTAATTAAAGTTTGTCCTCCCCATATGCAATGTTGAAGTCCTAATCCTAAATTTCACTATACATGGTGATAGGGTCTTTAAAGGTAAAATTAAATAAGGCCCTAGTTCAAAAGGATTGTGGCCTTTTAATAAAAGGAAGAGAGAAAAAGGTTGTTTTTCTACCATGTAAGGATACAGTGAGAAGGCAGCCATCTATAACCCAAGAAGAGCACTTTCAGCAGAATCTGACCCTGATGCACTTTAACTAGGACCTTTTAGGATCCACAACTGTGAGAAAATGAATTTATGTTGTTTAAACCATCAAATCTATGATAATATGCTATGATAGACTGAGTTGATTACATATAAATGTATGTCTCAATTCCTGCCCTTAATCAGTACTTTTATCACTTTAAATTTATGAAAAGCAATGACTTATAAGCTCACTATTATGGGTTGTATCCAGATGGCCTTCCAGAGCCTCATGTGCTCATTCATAGGTGGGAATTTTCAGAGGTGGTAGTTGTAGGGTGTGTTAATGTGGATTAAGGATGTGTGTTACTGGAATTAAGGTTATGATAAGCAGATTGCTTCACTAATTTAGCATTGTTCTAGGTGTGGGTAATGGGAAGCCCCACCTTGGGCATTGGTGACACCATCCAAATGGTTTGTAGCATGGATGAAATAAAAGGGAAAAGCAAGCTCACTGCTGCTATTGCTTGCTGCTTGCTGACTTTTGCTTGCCACACCATGGACCTTTTCTCTTCTGTGATGCTCTTCTGACATGCCACCCTGCCTTGAAACCAGCCAGCTATGGACTGAAACTTCTATAGACTGTGGGTGTTGGATATTTTATTCTGGCATTGAAAAAAAGTAACTAAGACACCCACCAATAAGAAATGTTGGAGAACCAATGTAACCATCCAGACTGGGATATTCTAGTAAAAAGGAATTATACTGTTCCTATTTATTTACAACCTGAAGTTTTATCTTCCTCCTTCCTAAGAGGTCACATCCTTAAATAATCACTGCTGTTACAGGAAGTTGAAACTATTTTCTCTGCTATTGCATAAACAGCAAACAAAACAGTGGATGAGTCAAAATTGAGCAAGTGCCAATGAGGTAACACAATTATAAGACTTAATTTAGCCTGAAGATTTGAACCTTAGAAGTGGTCATGTTGATCATTAATACTGATATAAGGCACCAAATAATCTAAATAAGCAGAATAATCCAAACAAGGAAAATAGTGTAACTCCCAACCTGCTAGATATCTGAAATGCCGAGTTTGTGTTCTCCAAAATTCAAGAATGAATTCTAGCAACAACAGAAGTCAAGAGTAGGAAAAACTCTATTGAGAGAAAGAGAACATATGTCTAAAAGAGACAGAAGTGGGGTTGGAAAAGTGGGTTGCCAACCAACCCGCTTTTCAAAGGTGTTTTATTGAAGAAAGCCACAAGGTGAGACAGGTATAAGATGAGACAAAACCATAGTCAACTAATAAGATTGCAAGTATAGGCCCTTAGGTAATACCGATCCAATGGGAAATCCTGAGGTGGAACAAAACCATGATCAACCAATAGGATTATAACAAGTATAGTTACCTAGATAATATTGATTAAATGGAGATCAAATAGGGAAGCTAGTCACATAGCAAGCATACATGGAATAGATAAGGAATGGGCCAGTGGGGGAGATTTTGGCCCCTAATTAAGGTGATTAATGTCCTTTTAGAATATCAATCACTGCCATTCATCCCTAGGGGAAGTATGTGGATGTAGTAGTTTCTCTCTTTTTTAATGTTAACTGTAAGTGAATGTGCCTCAATTGTTTTCCTATGCTGAGAACGTGGCTCTGCCCAACTACCTTATAATATTTTATAATTAATGTAGCTGAATGCAATAATGCTTTACCTTAAGCCTGAAACAATTTTCCAGTAGAGTCACTTAGCATCTTGCAGTTGACACTAGGAAAGATAAATATAGAAAGAAAACAAAGACAATCATAATTTTTAAATTATACTAAGGAAAAACTGCATCTTCAGGACAGAAAAGTTACCCAAGGTTACAATGCCTTGTTTTCTGTCTAGGAAAGTCTTTCCAAAAATATTCCTAAAGATCTTAAAGATACAATAAGACTGTAAACTTAGGCCAGTGCTTTTCAATAGTAAATTGCTCTTCCACAGGTATCAATCCTTAAGGAAGCAGCACTATTTGGGGGTATAAGTTGAGACAGGGTCTTGCTATGTTGTTCCGACTGAGCTTGAACTTATAGAGATCCTCCTACCTAAGCCTTCCCAGGGCTGGAATTACAGGCTTGCACCACCATTCTTGGCTAAGAAGCAGCACTATTAAGTGGGCAGCATGTTTCTAAACTTTAAATATATGCAAATGGTTTGCAGTCTAGCCTCGGCCATCAAACAATTGGTTCACAGACAGTAGGAATATGCATTCTAAATAATCCATTTTGAGGATACCTCCAAGACCACATAAAATAACCCAACTCCACACCGTAATATGCCTCTTTTGAGGCCTCACTCTCTTTGATGTACTTCTTTCTGCCTCTCACTGATGTGTTTTGGAAATTATTTTTGTGATGAAATTCAGCAAACCTACAATCTACCCCATGGGT